TAAAGAACACCAAATATATTAAAACCAACTAAAACTGCATGTAACCTAAGAATTTTGTGGAGAAACAGTAATGAGGGAACACTTACTCCAGCGGAAAATAAAATATAGGTTTACAACTATTTTAATTGTCACTATAGACTCTTTTATGGTAAAATTCAAGGCAAATATTTCCAAATTTAGCTAAGCATGTGCGAAAACCTCATCACTGGTAGAATCATGAAATGGTACAAAAATTCTAGAAAATTATTGGTAATGTTTGAGCAGATTTATCCATACAACAATTCTATTACTCATAAATTATACTCCCAAGTATTACGGGGCCAAAAGTACTGAGAACATAGGTCCACTAAAAGACTTGAACTTGAAAATTTATAGCACCTATATTAATAAAGTCATCAAACCCCAAACAACCCAAACATCTGTTAAAGAAGAGTACATCAAATGTAAACAAACATTATTTATACAACCTAAGCTGGGTGAATGAAGACATACCAGAATTTATTCTTACAGTTCTTTTAGGCATATTCTTGTGCTCTATTATGCCCTGCTTGGGGCTTTTGCCTCTCCTGGCGATATTCCTGTTATTCTCATCACAGGTCTTATGATTAACGGCCTTTGGCTTCCGTAAACCACCTCACTCAGTTTCCAGTGGCCTCCTACACCTGGCCCCTGCCTGCACCTATTCCCACTCGTTACTCTGACTGACCTTTACAAGCAACATAAATACCTTGCTTCCCCTATTCAGCCCTGCTGACGCTGTTTTGGACTCAGCCCTTCTACTGGCAGATGTAACAATAAAATTGTAACTATTTTCCCCTTTTAGCGTTGTATGTTCCTCCTTTGGTGACCCAATCAGTTCTGAGTATATGAAGTTCAGGTAAAACTAAACTCGCATGGCAGAAATTATACCATTAATAAGGGAAATTGACTGGAAAGGGGTAGAGGAAATTTTAAGGGTTGAATAAATGATGTAAATATTCTATAACCTAAATTTGGATGATAGTTAATCAATGATACCCATTTGTCAGTTATCCACATGGAAATGTGGCTTATGATATCTCTTGTAGATCATACTTGACTTTTTTCTTTAAGTTAGCTAGCATGAAATCAAGTATTAATTAAATTAACTAAAATATTAGAATTAAAAAATAAAATATTAGAATAATTTCTCAAGTTAAGCAAAGTATCAGAGACAGATGTATGCACATATAAAAAATAACACAAATTTATATGTGAGGGAATTTTTTATTACCTGTGTTAGGTTAGGTGGCTCAGGAGGCAGCACAAGAAAGAGAGACTCCAGTGAATCAGAAAAGAAAGGAAAGGAAAAGGTGGGCTCTCTCCGACCTAACAACCTGGTTCAATAGTTAATGAATATCTAATTAAATATATTAATAATGGCTTTCTACATTAGTCTTCCACTAAGATATTTTCTAAATGGAGCAATTATTTTCATGTTAATAATAACTAATCATTCTTTACCATTGCCAACCTGAAATTATTTGCTCTTCACAGCATCCCAATGAGGCAATTTGGTTATTGCTTGTTATTTATTATTTTTTATTATTAGTTAAATGTGAGAAAATTGAGGATCAGACAGATGGTCAGGCCTAGTAAGTGGCATGGAAAGGTGTCAAATTCAAATTGTATTTAGAGGCCATATTCTTTGTTTGGTCCTTCTGCCCTTTTAAATATATTTTTAACATTGTTATTTTAAAATATAGCAAACATGTATTAGAAAACATAATAGCATTTGCTATTAATTCTTGCTGAATACAAAAAAATTGCTATTTATGCTTGCTTAAAAAACTACTTGCTTTTAAAAAAAACTTGCTAAAACAGATTTTATGTGTTTATGTAGAGTAATTTCTTTCCTGGCTTATATTACATGCATGCAAATGTTCTTCCACAGACATGTATATAAATGTACAAAGGACAGCATTATTATAACTAAAACCAGAAAGTTTTTATTCATGTGTCCATCAAAAATGTAACAAATTACACATGGCAATTTTGAAAACAAAAAAACTGAATGTCATTAAAATTATACTAGGCTAAGAAAAGCTAGAAATACTTTGTATTCTTACTTACTTGAAGTCCAAGAAAAGGAAATTGAATTATGGTGATGAAAGTCAAACCAAAGGTTATTCTGGGACAAATTTAAAGAGAGGTTTTTAAATTACCTGTGGTGTCAGATGGGTGGGTACCATATTTATCAGGATGAACACTTAGTAAGTTATATAATGTCTAATCACTGGGTTGTACTCCTGAACTTAATATAATGTTTTATATTAAGTTAATATAATGTTTTTATAAACTGTAGTTGAAATATAAAAAATAATTTAAAAGAAGTTTTAAAAAAAGTGAAAATACAACCAGCAGATTGGCAGTATATACCTCATATATCTGATAAATATCTTATATACAGACTATATAATTAATACTTATAACTCAACAAGAAAGACAAAACTACCCAATTAAAAAATAAAGGCTGAAATAAATATTTTCACAAAGAAGATACAAAAATGGCCAACAAATAGTCATTAGGAAAATGGGATTTAAAAACCACGAGATATCAATTTACCGGGTGATAATAATTTTTAAAAAGGGTGTGGGAGTTAGGGGTGTGAAATAACATATGTTTGCAGATTATGGAGAAATTAGAAAACTAATATATCCCTGGTGGAAAACAGTTTTGCAAAAAGGCATAGAATTACCCGACAATTCCACTCCTAGGCATACATCTATAACAACTTAAAACAGGTATTAAACACATACTTGTCCATGAAGATTAATGGACAATGTTAAAAATGTATCTTAAAGGGCAGAAGGACCAAAGAGCATGGCCTCTAGATGCAATTTGAATTTGACTCCCTTCCATGCCACTTACTAGGCCTGACCATCTGTCTGATCCTCAATTTTCTCACATTTAACTAATAATAAAAAATAAAAATTATAAACAACAGCAATAACCAAATTGCTGTGAAAAGCAAATAATTTCAGGATGGCAATGGTAAAAAACAATTAGTTATTATTAATGTGAAAGTAATTGCTCCATTTAGAAAATATCTTGGTGGAAGACTAAAGTAGAAAATCATTATTATGTATAATGTAACAGCACTAAAACCTGAAAACAACTTAAATGTCTACCACCATCTGATAATTGGATGATCGAATGTAGTATAATCATACAAAGAGATATCTTTCAGTTATAAAAAGGAATGAAATACTGATACATGCTATAACATAGGTACATAAATACTATGCATAGTAAAAGAAGCCAGACACAGAGGATCAAATGCCGTATGACGATATGAAAATGTCCAGAAAAGGTAAATTCATAGAAAAAAATAGATCAAAGGTTGCCAGAGAATGGAAAGTGACTTCTAATAGGTGGTATGTTTCTTTTTTAGGTGATTAAAATGTTCTAGACTAAGAGAGTAGTGACAGTTGCACAATATACTTGTGAATATATTAAAAACTCTGAATTTGTACACTGTAAAGTAGTGCATTTTATGGTATGTGAATTATAGGTTAATAAAAGAAAGAGCATTCATTAAAAAGGGGAGTATATAAAACACTAATATATAGAATATATATAGCCCTAGCTGTTTGGCTCAGCGGGTAAAGCACTGGCCTGTGTACTGAAGGGTCCCTGGTTCAATTCTAGTCAAGGGCACACACCCAGGTTGCAGGCTTGGGCCCCAGTGGGGGGCATGTGGGAGGCAGCTGATTGGTGGTTCCTTCTCATTATTGATGTTTACTGCGGCACTAATTGCGCGTGTATGGGAAAAAAATGTAAAACACTTTTTATACAATAAACTCACTTGTATTGCTTTGCAACAACAAAAATTAAAAAATACCAATTGATTACATAAATTTGTTTTAAATAAGAAGAGCGCGATAGCGCTCCTTAGCAGTCAATTAAGCAAAATTGTTTTTGGAACAAATTATTCTGCAAAGTTAACTTCTGTTTCACCCTGAACAGAGTGGAGGGAGGTCAATGGAGGAAAAAAGGAAGGTGTCATCTAATAATAGTTTCAACAATAAAAATAAATTAACTAAAAAATATGACATTTAGTTAAAAATATATACAATTTGGTGTTTCATTTTTTGAGGTGTTGTTTTAAAATATTTTGGAATATATGCATTTTGAAGAGTTGATTTTAATATGTGCTATATATTTTGACTAATGATTTATTTTTATTCTAAAAGTAATGCTTCTCTTTGCAAACTGCAAGTTTTTAAAAAGTTAGGTGGCAATGGAAACAAGTACATTGACATCAAAAGTAATTTTTCAGGAATAGAGGTAAAAACATGCATCTCATACTGATATATGTAAAATAAGTGAGCGTAAGTTAAATTAAAATCTTATTTTACCTGATAGATGTTAAAATAGTCTCAAAGTAACATCAAAGTATGTAGATTTGTGAGGAGTTAACAAATTGAATTGCAAATGGAAGTAAAACTGGTTTTTCCACATCAGGGAGGAAATGTAATATAAACTACCAAAGACAGAATTTACTTATCTATGTGTAAATAATCTTCAGTTTACAAAGTAGCCCAGAGGCCAATGAATAAACGGAAGCTAGGGGTTTTTCACTGAAGTGCACAATTTTTTTCCTATAGAACAATTCTGTGCATATTTTTAACCCAATTTTTGAGTTATAGTATTTAAAATAGTGACTATACATATATAGTTAGTGGCCAATCTCCAGAAGAACTAAAATTAGGTATAAAAATTGTCCACTAATAGAAAAACAGATGACCTTGGGTCCGTAGTATTAAAATACTTTCTCATCAAGTTAGTACTTTCAAGCAGCCATACACACAGGTTACGTAAGAATGTTTGCGTGCCTTATTTTTAAATTAAATTACAGGCACATTTGAGATGAATAGGAGCTTTGTTACTGAGAGCAAGGAAATCAATATGGAATATAAATAAGAGAAGGCCCGAATTGTAAACTAAGGTAAAAAGGAAACCTTATGTAGTCACTTACCCGATTTTCACCCAGTTCTGCGGAGCTACTGCCCTGCTCCTGTCCCAGCACGGAGCTAACTAACATCGCGGTTTGTGAGCTACTTAGCTGGTCCTGCATTCTTAAGTGTGTAATTTTGGTAGAGATGTTCCTGTATGTGATGGGGTTCAACCGCCCGTCCACATGCACCTGGCTGCGTGGTATTGAAAAGGAACCTGCGGGGTGCGATGTGTCATTTTTCAGTGGTACCTTGGTCTTCCGACGAGGTCTATATTTATAGTCCGGGTATTTCTCTCGGTGCTCCTCGCGTAGCCTCTGTGCCTCCTCAAAAAAGGGCCATTTTTCGGTTTCTGTAAGCATTTTCCACTGGTTTCCCAGCCTCTTGCTGATCTCAGAATTTTGCATTTTGGGATTTTCTAGAGCCACCCGGCGCCTTTGGTCTTGAGACCACAGCATGAATGCATTCATGGGTCGTTTGACGCGGTTCTGACCCTTGTCTCTACCATTTCCTCCTGTTTCACACCAGTAACTTGAGCTAGGATTGCCCATCCAAAGTAGGGAAGAGGTTTCCCCAAAAGCCAGGATAGTTTGCTGCTGTATCACTGGACTGTAATTATCATCGCTGCTTATTACTCTGGACATGGCAGAAGCATCTGATAGATTACACCATTAATAAAAGTAGTGGTAGCAAAATTAGATGTAACTTCTCAATTTTTTTTTTCTATTCAAAAGCTCATTTATAGCTGATACTTTATTACTCTAAACTTTTATGGTAAAATATTTATTTCTCCGCCCCCAAAATCTCCCTGGAAACACCCCATGGCTGACAGCCAAACCCACCCATCTAGGCATTCTCAAGCAAAACTTCTTATTCCATAACAACACACTGCCACTATGTATGCACTCCACGCCTAATCCACAGCACTGAAGGCTCTAAATCTGAAGGCAGACTTGAAGATTTTAATGAAGTATTTTGATGTAATGAAATCAGAAGAAATTTTTCCCATACCATTTGCAAAATGGGTGTAACAACCATTGATTGCACTGAAGACAATTTATTGAAAGTAATAAACTCTCACCAAGACTGAATACATTAATGACCAAATTTCTAAGAAAATAAAGTTGAAGTAATTCCTGCATCAACAAATGATCAACACATAACCAAGTGCAATTTATGCAATAAATGTTATGATGAATTAATATTAGAAACTCCACACAAGTATTACTTTATTCAGCCAAAAATTAATATGAATCTCATAATTAGTATTCTCATCTAATACAGTTTTCAAGATCCAAATAAAATGGGATGGGTGGCAGTAAATCAGTAAAAATTATATTTTTAAAAATAAATAAAATATACATAAATCATTTTAAGCACACTGTAACAAATGATTTAGATTTTTTAAGATTATGGCATATATTTCTCATTTATATAGAACACATTTCAGATTAAGCAAAATTGTTTTTGGAACAAATTATTCTGCAAAGTTAACTTCTGTTTTACCCTGACCCAATTTACAAGTATCTTAATATAGACCCATATGTTTAAATTACATTTAAACACAAAAGCAAGTTTTGTAAATCTGGAAATTGTTTATTATATAACAAAATAATATACCACCTCAAAATTGTATTTAAAAGGAAAAAGTGGATAAATCTTGAAAGCATCATCTTGAGTGAAAGAAGTCAGACACAGGAGACAACATACTAATTGATTTATATACCATTTATATGAAATATTCACAAGAGGCAAATATATAAATAGACACTGGAGCCAGATAAGTGGTGGCCAACGGCTGGATTAGAGGAATAGGACTTGGGAAGTCATTTGTTAAGGCAGTTTTTCCATCCGGCACAACATTCTGGTATATATCTTATATATTTGAAAACAAACAAATATAACAATAACTAAACAGGAGGTGAATAAGACTTCATAGTTATTTATATCTTATCGGGGAGGGCAGTCAATAAAGTTAAATTTTTAAAAAGAGAGATCTGGCCATAACCGGTTTGGCTCAGTGGATAGAGCGTTGGCCTGCGGATTGAAAGGTCCCAGGTTCGATTCCAGTCAGGGGCATGTACATTGGTTGCAGGCACATCCCCAGTAGTGGGTGTGCAGGAGGCAGCTGATCCATGTTTCTCTCTCATCGATGTTTCTAGCTCTCTATCTCTCTCCCTTCCTCTCTATAAAAAGTTAATAAAATATATTACAGAAAAAAAGAGAGATCTGATTTTTAATCCACAACTCTGGGTATAGTGTTTGGCATATAGCAGGTTACTGAAATCTCTTTCCAATGCTTTAATTAACAAAAGAGGTGAAAATAGCCTTACCTTTAGAGGAGATATAACTGGTATTTCATTTTTTTGTAAAAAGAAAAAAAAAAGGACATGAATATTTAGAGTAACAATATTTCATGCAAAAATAGAGGAGGAAAGGAAAGCATCCTATACGTCTGTAATATGATATCAATAAACTACCTAACGTTTCGTTGAGTGCATTTAATGGTTCAATATATTTTAATCTCAGACCCAGGCTGATTCTTAGTCACTATGCCCAGGAATAAGAGTTAACACTTCTTAAAATATTGATCTTATATCAGAGGGTGAAAATATGCTTCTACTTTTTTTCCCCTCCCCCAAATATACATCTCTATCTCCCAGCTCCTGGGTAATGAATACTGACCATTCCCATCTCTCAAATTTAGTAAATAACATGTTAAGATTCTATTCTATTATATGACTACACTTTTTAAAAAATATATTAATTACTTGAGGCCCGGTGCACAAAAATTTGAGGGGAAGAGGGGTCCCTCATCCTGGCCTGTGCCCTCTTGCAGTCTGAGACCCCTCGGGAGATAACGACCTGCTGGCTTAGGCCTGCTCCCCGGTGGCAGAGGGCAGCCCCAATCCCTAGGTGCAGCCCCTGGTCAGGCTCAGAGCAGGGGCAATTGGGGAGTTGGGGTGCCACCCCTGTCATGCACAAAGCAAGGCAGATTGGGAGGTTGTGATGCCACCCTCAGTCACGCTCAGGGTAGAGCTGATTGATGGGTTGGGGCACTGCCCCCTGTCACACTCAAAGCAGGGTCAATGGGGAGGTTGTGACACCACCCCCTGTAACACACAGAGCAGGGTTGATCAGGGGTGTTGGGAGCTCCCCCCTGTCACGCACAGAGCAGGGCCCATCAGGGGATTGGGGAGCTCCCCCCTGTCACACACAGAGCAGGGCCCATAAGGGGGTTGAGAAGCTCCCCGCTGTCACTCAGAGAGTAGGGCCGATAGGGCAGTTGGGCCACCACCTTTTGTCATACACAGAGCAGGGCCCATCAGGGGATTGGGGCGATGGGTTGGGGCACTGCCCCCTGTCACACTCAAAGCAGGGTCAATGGGGAGGTTGTGACACCACCCCCTGTAACACACAGAGCAGGGTTGATCAGGGGTGTTGGGAGCTCCCCCCTGTCACGCACAGAGCAGGGCCCATCAGGGGATTGGGGCGCTGCCACTCTCACACTCAGGGCAGGGCTGATGGTGAGGTTATGACTCTACCCTGTCATACACAGAGCAGAGCCCGAGGAGGGAGGAGGCTAGGGACGCCCCACCCTGTCACACACAGAGCCGCAGGGTGATCAGGGGGTTTGGGCGCTGCCTCACGGCTGCGCTGATGCCGGTGCTGGGAGGCATATTACCAGTTTACTATATAGGACAGAGGCCTGGTGCACAAGTGGGTGCCAGCTGGTTTGCCCTGAAGGGTATCCCGGATCAGGGTGGGGGTCCTCTCTGGGGTGCCTGGCCAGCCTGGGTGAGAGGCTGATGGCTGTTTTTAGGCTTTCCCCAGGCCCCCCCGGGGGGGGGGCCAGCCTGGGTGAGGGGCTGATGGCTGTTTGCAGCTGAGAGGCTCTGGATCAGGGTGGGGGTCCCCACTGGGGTACCTGGCCAGTCTGGGTGAGGGGCTGAGGGCTGTTTTCAGTGCTGGAGGTGACTGAAACTCCCAACTGCTCTTTTTTTCTGTTTTCTTTTTTTATTCTGGGCCAGCTTTAGCTTTGAGGCTTGGCTCCAGCTCTTAGGCCTCCCCTGCTGAAAGTAGGTTCCAGGCCTTTGCTTATAATTTTGCGATCCTGCTGGCTGAAGCCTGAGGACTAAAGTAGGTTTCTGGGGTTTTGTTTAGCTTCTATATTTGTTGCATAGTTGCTTAGGGTTGCAGCTCAGAAGCCTGCAGTGGCAGGCGGGGAATGTTGGAGTCCTCTTTCACTGAAGCAAGCAAGCCTCATGTTAGTTTCAAGCTGCCTGGCTGTTGGCCGTCATCTTGGCTGGCAGTTAATTTGCATATTCCCCTGATTAGCCAATGGGAAGGGTAGCGGTCGTACACTAATTACCATGTTTCTCTTTTATTAGATAGGATTACATCTCAAAGGTTGTTGAATATCAAACAGACTCACAAACAACCTTAAGTGGTAGAAAGTGATATTGTCCTGCAAATGTTAATTTCCTCTGGGATTAAGTAAAAACAAATGTTGCCAAACTAATAAACTCATTATATCTCTCGGTGAAATTACTGCAGTGAATTAGAAAAATGTTCAAAAAACATTAGATTTAAGTAACTACATACAGACTCACTATGGTTCTTTTTCAAATCAGAACTAAAGTGAATAGGAACTGAAAAATAGTAATTTCAACATTCCAGTAAAATCAATTGCATTTGGGACATAACTACACACTTTATTCTCATTGGTTTAATAGCCCTTAAAGTAGGACTAATTTCAATTTCTATAGTGAATAAAAGCATAGCTCCACACCATTTACACAATAAACCCCACAAAATTTTACATCAATAATTCAGATATTTTTTCTACTCCAAAAAAGAAATAAAGCAAATCAGTACCTGCTCAAATTAAGGAATGGATAACAAAAAAAAAGTTATATGAATATCACTCCATTTGTTCCAATTTATCAGGACATTTCATTCAAAATATTACTGGACAGGGTACCTGGCCCTGAGCAGGTTTGACTAGAGCCAGCCAGTAGTGTGAGTTCTTGACTTCATGCAGGAAAAACTTCTAGGTAAATATGAGGGTACATTTATTAAAGCTGGGGACTGAAAAAAGGAAGGTCTTAGCATAGAAGAAGCAACAGGAGAGTTGGGCAGGGCTGCTTTGGTTCTTCAAAAATGTTGTAGGAAAGAAATTAATTGAGGTGAGATTGCTTTAGTTCACTTAGAAGTCAAAGAAAAGGGAACCTTTGAGACAGGTTTCAGAGGTTAGCCTGCAATGAACTGCCACTGCCTATTGCTACCCTTGTTGCAAGTCTTCTTGCACATATCATGAGGCCCCTTGGAATTTAGGAGGCATGTGCCTATGGGAAAGCAGCAAAACCAGACTGGTTACACATCCTGTACACTCTTCCATGGAGGGAGAGTATGCACTGGGTCCTTAGTCTCAAGGATATTCTCTTTCTCTTGAAGATGGAAATCTTAGGGTAGATATCAGGCAAGGGTCTTAAAGAGTATTCATCAACTTTCCAGATGCGTCCTTTCTGGGTCTAGGTCTCCCCTAATTTGTCAGTGTCAGAGCAGGGGTCCTGAGGAATCATTGGCATTATTTGTCTGGTTCTGCTGCTTTTTTGGGATTGGAGTTGAGATATAATTGAGGCCT